CCTCAGCCTCCCAAAGGCACGGGATTACAGGCTGAGCCACCAAGCCCGGCTGGCTTTTTTTTTTTCTTTTGAGTTGGAGTCTCACTCTGTCACCCAGGCTAGAGTGCAGTGGCATGCTCACGGCCAGCCAGCCACTACCTGCTGAGCTCAGGTGATCCTTCTGCCTCAGCCTTCCAAATAGCTTGAACTACACGCGCGCGCTACCATGCCCTGCTTATTTTTTAAATTTATTGTAGAGACGAGGTCTCACCAAGGAGCCCAGACAGGTCTCGAACCCCTGAGCTCAGGCAACCCTCTCTCCTCGGCCTCCCAAAGTGCTGGGATTACAGGCTTGAGCCACCATACCCAGCTTGCCCTGTAAGATCTTAAGGAGTCATGCAAGGCTCGGCCTTTGGAGCCCTAGTCTGAGGGGTGACTTTGTGAGTGGAGGGCCTGAGAAGCCTCTCAGAGGCTCAGTACAAAGGAGCACTACTCAAAGGTAGAATCAGATCGTGGCAGTCAACCAGAACATTTCTTGAAGTTGGAGATGGGCCCATGTGGATCTGGCCAGCCCAGCCCTGGCTTAGCAGTTCTTTGCCTCCAGAATGACCTCGTGCAGACCATTGGTGTGAGTGCAGCACTAGGGGCAGCCGGCGTGGTGCTCTGGGGGGACCTGAGCTTCTCCAGCTCTGAGGTAATATTGACCCCTTCAGCCTGCCATGTAGCAAGTGCTGGGATCCCAGGGTCAGGGAGAGATCATAGGGCAGGAGTATTGACACATCCTTTTGCTTCTCAGGATGAATGCTGGCATCTCCATGACTACCTGGTGAGCACCCTAGGCCCCTATGTGAACAACGTGACCAGGGCAGCCATGGACTGCAGTCACCAGAAGTGTCATGGCCATGGGCGCTGTGCCCGGCGAGACCCAGGACAAATAGAAGCCTTTCTGCACCTACAGCCAGATGGCAGCCTTGGAGATTGGGAGTCCTTCATCTGCCACTGTTACTGGGGCTGGGTTGGCCCTACCTGCCAGGAGCCCAGGCCTGGGCCTAAGGAAGCAGTACAAAGCCAGGAGTCCCTGCCCTAGCCCCTTCTTTTCCTTGCTGCCACTTTCCCAGTACTGGAGTGGCTCTGTCCTACTCTTTCTCTATTCAGCTTATGATCAATCCTCCCAAGCACACCCCACTTCCACTCCACTTTCCTTAGGATCTTTGAGGAATGGAAAGGGCCAGAAAAAAAAACAACAACATAAAACCAGAGGCTCAGGTGGGCACAGTTACTCATGCCTGTAATCCCAGCACTTTAGTAAGTTGAAGTGGGAGGATTGCTTGAGCCCAAGAGTTTGAGACCAACCTGGACAACATAGCAAAGACCTCATCTCCACCAAAAAAAAAAACTAGTCAGGTGTGGTGGCAAGCGCGTGTAGTTCCAGCTATTCGGGACGCTGAGGTGGAAGGGTTGTCTGAGCCCAGGAGGTTGAGGTCGTGCCACCACACTTCAGCCTGGGTGACAGAGTGAGACCCCAACTCAAAAAACAAAACAACAAAGTTCTTTTAAGACCATCTGACTTTTCATTACAAGGAAGCAACCCTAAGGAGAGTCAGGTTCCAGTTGGCTAGGGTTGTCAGCCCAGGGCTTTGTGTCTAGACCTCACTGCGTCTATGGAGAGGTCACAGGAGACCTGTTTAGGGGCAGATGGGCCCCCAAGAAGATCTTGGCTAAGGTCTGTAAAGTGCTAAGCTGTTATCTGTACTCTGCTTTCATCATAAAGTCACTTTTTCCTCTGCTGTCTGAGGTTTGGCTGTTCCTCGTTCTACCAAGCCCTATACCCTTTCCACAGTCCCCAGACCCAGGCAGCCCTGTAGGCCTCGTCACCAGTGCCTCACGGCAAATGTCCAGAGATGCCGGTCCTGCGGCGGTGCTCCACCGGGAGAGGGAAAAGTCACAGTTAACGACAGTGCACTTGGCATGTTGCGGAAGGTGGAGGACGTGCTGGGTCGCGCAGGGCATTGTGGGTGCATAGTTCAGCTAGTGCGTCGCCGGCTCGCGGGTCCCAGGAGTAGACTACCATTCCCGTGGTGCTCTGCGCCCAGCCAGCCGGCAGTAATCTGAGCACACAGCCCCCTGGGAATAGTAGTTTCGACCGCCTGGTTTTGAGTCTGAACCGGGTGGCCAAGAACTCGCCTTCCCGGCAGCCCGTTTGGCAGGGCGGGGCGCCTCACGAAGATGGTGGCACGGGCGGCGTGTGGCTCCCGTCGCCTGGCCAAGTCTCAGCGGAGCACACCGACCGGCGTCTCGCTGGTCTGGAGTCCCCACCCTCCGGGTCCCTGACCCCATGCCTCCCGCGCCTGGCTCTCGGCATGCCACGCGCCCGTAAGGGCAACGCGCCCCGGAAGGGCGGCCAGCGCCGTAGAGGAGGTGAGTGGGGGGCGCAGAGTAGCTGATAAGCGATGTGCTGGGGACTTGCATGGATCCCCATCGGTGTCCCCGAGTGCTCTGGAGTGAGGAAACTTCCCCTTGACCAGCCCGAGGCAACTTTCCTGAACTCTGTCGAGGTCGACATGTGCCCCAGCTGGCATTGGCCACGTGCGCGCCCAACTTGAGTTCGCTGCCCGCCGCCTTTCGGGAGCCGGTACTCCCAGCGGTGACGCGGCCAATCCCTCCGGACATCGGTTTTTCTATTGCCTTTCCACCCCAGTGTGAGGTGGACGAACTCAACCGACAGAGCGGGAAGCCAGACCCCTCGCCAAACCCTGATCTTTTCGTGGACTGGACAAGGAAGTAGGCAGGGGGCCTGGCTTGCTCTGGAGAACAGAGAGAGGGGGCGATTGAGAATCTACAGGATTGGGATCTTGGGGGTTTTGGCCCCAGAAGGTGGATGAGTACAGGTATCCTGGAGCGTGAGGCAGTCTTGGGACTCACTTATCAGCTTTGACCAGGAGGCTTTCTTTGTGCAGTAAACACATATGTTTACTCTAGCACACTGGGGTGCTTGCTAGGCAAAACTTTATTTTAAGGAGAGAAGGAAAGCCAGGAGCTGGAAGGAGGAAAAGACCTAGGCACAACCTTAAACTGGTCATCATCCTGATGAGGTTTGGGTGGGGTGATATTTAATAGGAAATGGAACATGTTCGTTAAGTGGAATCAGCCCCAGATTTAGGAAGCAGGAGAGGGGCTTCTTGGGTGAGTCCCCAGAAGTTGGAAAAGAGCATCATGCAGAGGGAACAAGTTGTGCAAGTTGCTGGAGTGACCACAGCAAAGTGGAGCAAATCAGGAAAGGCTGAGCTGCTTTGGCAGGTAGGATAATAAGAGAAGAGGTAAGCATTGTCCTGCACACAAGGGGTGTAAATTCTGAGAACTAGGGCCAGCTTGATTATCAGAATCTGTCCAAACCTCTGCCACAGCAGCCACTTTGCCAGAGTCACTCCTTGCCCTGGACAGAACCCACTCGCAGGAGTGTTCCAGCCCTACTGACCCTGATACTCCTTTGTATTCACCTATTTTCAGGGGCTCATGCAGTCAGGGGTATTTCACTTCCTACTCTTCCCAGGGACAAAGAGGAACTGTGTGCATAAACCCAGGACTGAAGGCCCTGGATGTACCCAAAGAAGCTCAGAAGACAGTATGCTTGAAGCTTGGGGCACCTGTGCACTCCCAGTGGGAGCTAGGCCTGTGGATGGCCTGCTGGGCTTGTTGGCCCACAGCAGAACCATAACAAACCACTGTTTTCTTCTGCTCCACCTAAAAGGTGTTTTTGCATCACTGATATGCAGATGGAAAAACTGAGACTTTGAAAGCTGGACAACTGACCTGGCTATAACCTGTTAAAATGTGGAGTTGGAATTTGAGCCCTGAGTCTGCCTAACTCTATAATATAAGCCCTTGATCCTTGCTCTGCCCACTTTTGGGCATAATCTGGACTGATAGCTAATCTTCACTATTTTCTGCCTGGATATGCCCCTATTCCAGGCTGGTTCACAGGCCCAGGTGGCACTTACAGCCCCTTCTTCTTCTACCTGGCTCCCAGTCTCCTTTGGCTTCAGGTTTCCCTTGCTTGGTTACCTCTATGCTGGGCCAAATGCCTTATGTGATCCAGTAAACAAATCTCTTTCCTTTTTTCCTGCCTCCAGGTTCACGTCACCTGCATCAGCCCCTGTGCCATTCTCCTGAGATTTGATTGTCTCATCTCTGAGAGTGGCCAACATCCTGTCTTGTGGGGTTATCCTGTTGGGTGAGAAACCCCCAGCCATACCTCATCCATGGAGGCAGGCTGAGTACCCCATTCTACCCTCCCTAGGTGCCCGGAGCAGTGCTCAAGCTGACTCAGGTTCCAGTGAGGATGAGGCAGCCAGTGAAGCCCGCAGCAACACCAGTGAATGTCCCAGCCTTCTCAGTACCACTGCAGAGGATAGCCTTGGTGAGAGTGGGTGGCAGTTTGGCAGAGGTTCAGTGAGGGCTCCGTGGGATGAGGGCAAGAAGCAGTGCTGACCAGCTGGCCTTGCAGGGGGGGATGTCGTGGATGAGCAGGGCCAGCAGGAAGACCTTGAGGAAAAGCTGAAGGAGTATGTGGACTGCCTCACAGATAAGAGGTACCCCTGGCTGCCAGCTAACTCCTACACCCAGGTCCCTGCTCAGCCCATACCAAGTGTTACCAATGGAGGGCTGGTCCAGATGAACCCCTTTCTCTACCCTCCAGTGCCAAGACCCGGCAAGGTGCTCTGGAGAGCCTGCGCCTGGCCCTGGCATCCCGCTTACTTCCTGATTTCTTGCTGGAGCGACGCCTCACACTGGCCGATGCCCTAGAAAAGTGCCTCAAGAAAGGTTGGACCTGGGTGTGTGTGGGAGACTGAAACTGTGCAGGTACTGATCCTTGCTGCATGGGCTGACTGGAAAGTATCCCACAGGGAAAGGTGAGGAACAGGCCCTGGCTGCTGCTGTGTTAGGCCTGCTCTGCGTGCAGCTAGGCCCCGGACTCAAGGGCGAGGAGCTGTTCCACAGCCTGCAGCCCCTGCTGGTCTCTGTGCTGAGTGACAGCACAGCTAGCCCTGCTGCCCGGATCCATGTGAGTGTTCCCGTGCCCCGTGAAACTCTTCCTCCACCTTATCCCTCAGCACAGTGGTGGGTTCCAGTCTTCAGGCTTTCCTACTGTAAGCAGAGCAAGCCCAGTGGCTAAGAACCTAGGCTAACCCCCGACCATGGCCTGCCTTTGCTGTCTTTCCAACAGTGCGCTTCTGCTCTTGGCTTGGGCTGCTATGTGGCTGGTGCTGACGTCCAGGTGAGTGGCCTTTGGGCACAGATGATAGAGCACCTAGGCCCATAGCTCTGTCCCTGAGCCCTCCCCTGCCTTTCTTTGCTCCTAGGACCTGATCTCTTGCCTTGCCTGCTTAGAAAGTGTTTTCAGCCGGTCCTGTGGTGTGGGTGGCTCCACAGTACCTGTGGTCCCTGCCAACCTGCATGGCCTGCTCTGTGCTGCCCTGCAGGCCTGGGCATTACTGCTCACCATCTGCCCCAGCACCCACATCAGCCACATCCTCAACAGGTAAGGGCAGCTGCCCACTGGGAGTAGATGGGGATCTCAAAGAGGCCTCCAGCTCACGCATGTAGCTCAGTGTGCCCTTTCCCTAGGCAGATGCCCCGGCTGCCCCAGCTCTTGTCCAGTGACAGTGTGAACCTGCGGATCGCTGCTGGTGAAACCATCGCGCTGCTCTTTGAGCTTGCCCGGGGCCTCGAGGTGTGAGGGATGGAGTGGGGGATGCTTGCTGACACTACCTGCCCATCCCAGGCTGATTGTAGGGGATGCCACAGAAAACAGAATAGCTTGAGGTTGTCATGGGAAAGTGGCACAGACTCCTGTGCTAGGTACTATGATGGGTGTCCTGAATAGAGGCCCATCAGGGATTCAGAGAGCCCAAGCAGAGAAGCGTTCTCAGTGAAAGGAGGGGTTTGGGCAGCTCCATATTGCAAGCTAGTAGAGCTCAAGCACCCAACACACCCTCCATCAACCCCATTGCAGGAAGACTTTGTGTACGAGGATGTGGAGGCTCTCTGCGGTGTCCTGCGCACTCTGGCCACTGATAGCAACAAGTACCGTGCCAAGGTCGACCGCAGGCGCCAGCGCTCTACTTTCCGTGCTGTGCTGCACTTCGTGGAGGTGTGTGTGAGAACATGTCCTAGCAAGAGTTTTCCAGGCATAACAGCCAAGCCCAATCATGTTGGCCCCTCTACCCTGCAGGGTGGTGAATGTGAGGAAGAGACAGTCCGCTTTGGGCTTGAGGTGCTCTACCTGGACAGCTGGGCTCGGCAACGGGTCTACACCGCCTTCAAGGAAGTGCTGGGTTCCGGCATGCATCACCACCTCCAGGTGAGGGGATGGACAAGGAAGGGGCACTTGCCTTGGCTGCTTCAGACAGGCCTGAGCTTACTGTCCTCTTTGCCCCAGAACAATGAGCTACTTCGTGACATCTTTGGCCTGGGCCCTGTGCTGGTGCTGGATGCCACTGCCCTGAAAGCCTGCAAGATTTCACGCTTTGAGAAGGTTTGTACCCTTGGGCACCTTTATCTTCCTACATTTCTCTGTTTCTCAGAGGTCTGGAACTCTGTAGGGCCTGGAGGAGGAGCCCTGGGCTTCCCCTCTCCCAGCTCACCAGATCATCACTCTTTGCCTCCAACCCTAGCACCTGTACAATGCTGCTGCCTTCAAAGCCCGGACCAAGGCTCGAAGCCGGGTGCGGGACAAGCGGGCAGATATCCTGTGAAGCAGGACCAGCCAGAGAGAAGACTGTCCCTTGGCCCATGTTTTTAACAGACGACAGTGCAACAGCTGGTTTCTACCAGTAATTGTCACTTTATTTTTTTAATGCCAAAACCAAAAACAGATATGGGATGGGTGGCTGAGGGCCAGGACACTTGGGACTCTGGCCCTTTTGTCCCTGCACTCAGCCCTGTGCCTCTTTCTGCTTTGTCTCAGGCCAGGCCAAATGTATGCCTGACTCAGGGCTCTGGGACAGGCAGCAGGGGGGGCTGTCCCTTTTCTTTCTCAGGCCTTGCTCCCTTGGGATGACCCACTTCCTAGACAGATGCTACCACAGCAGGAGGGGAGGTAAAGCTGCCTGGAATGAATTTGTGTGTTTATTTTTAAAGATTATTAGAGATAATTAAACAATGCTCAGCCTTCTGTGGTCATGACTCCTGGATGTTTCTGTCTGCTCTCCCTCCCCATCTACTACCCCAGGCTTGGGTCCAACTGGGTCTTCCCCATCTCTCTTATGCCCTCCACGACAGTATCTCCCTAGGTGATCTCCCTACCCAGAGCCCAGCCTGTCTTTGAGAGCTAAGGCTGGACACTCCACTGGGAAACCTGGCAGAGTTTGGGTGACTTCTGTGGGGGCAGCTATTTCTGGACTTCTGAACCTGCTATCTAGGGGTGGCCAGAGGATGCCGACAGGCCACAGGATGAGCAAGAAGGCTGATGTCCCTTCTGACCACCCCAAGGAAGGCTTTGGCCCCAGAAGGCTTGGCTAGGCCTGGCCTAAAGAAGTCAGGAAAGGCAGACAGCTGTGGAGTCACATTTGACTCTTGTACAAAAATTTCACCAAGGAAGTAGTATCAGTGTGGCGGCAAGCAATAGGAGAAACCTGCCCACGGTCACTTTATTCCCCACACAAAGATCCCAGACCCCAGGTCCCAGTGGCATCTCAGCTGGGTGCTTGGGCTTCACTGGAGTTAAGCCTTCGCAGCTGGCTGAGGCTGGCCAGGCGGAGCTTGAGTAGCATCTCCTCCTGTGTGCGCAATGTGTGTGCCAGGATGCGCAGAGATTCGCTCTGCAGCACTGTGAATGAATAGATGGAAGTGGGAGATGGTCAGACCATGTGCCACTCCATGAGCCCCCACCCAGTCCAGCGTCAGGGGCTGCCCACAGACCCCGCCACCCCAGCCTTCATTACTGCAGCATCTGCAGTTGCTCCTTCCAACTGCACAGAAGTGCCTCCCGGTCTCCACTGCTTTGCCCTCTGTTCCTACTGGCCCCCTGCAAGACCATACCACTCAGATAGACAGCCAGGAGGGCCAGGGCCAGGCAGGTGAGCACAAGCAGACCCAGCAGCAGCAGGAACCCCCCGCGTCCAAACACAGGGCTGCAACCAGCCAGTGAAGGTGGCAGAACACCCAGCACTTCATCCCACGGCCTCCCATCTTCAGCCTGATACAGGCGCAGTGTGCCTGCAGGGCAAACAGGATTATCAGAAGGGTGGTGTTTTCCTTCCCTTCCCCAGTTCATCCATCCTGCCTCCCTGCTCCCTCCTCACCTCCACTGTGTAGGTCACTGATGGACTCCACTTGGTGCAGGCACACCTCCTGCACATGATTGGGGGCCAGTGGCTCCCTGCTCCTCTGGCTCAGCATCATGGGTGCCATGGTGTCTGCAGGGGAAGGATGGGGCTGACTTAGCTGGTAGCAGGTCAACCCCTTTCTCCCAGGTGGCTTCAGGCAGTAGGGATTTGGGGAGGATGAGGATACTGGGGCTTTTGGATCCAAATACCCTAAAACATTCCAGAATGGTCCTTGATTTGGATACAGTATGATCCCAGACCTCTACAGCCTGCTCTGAACAGTGGCAGGAGATAGAATCAATTTCCTACCAAGCACCTCAAGGACTTTCAGGGATTCCTCTGTGCATTTCTAGCAAGTAGTTGATAGACTTGCAGGACTAAACCCATAATGAATGGACTTCAGTCATGTCTTCTATCAGTTTTCCCTGCAGACCCCTGAATTGTTAATTAGACCAGACCCAATGCCTGGGGGCTTCTGGACAGAAAGCCCAGTTCAAACTACTGGTACCTTTCCCTCTTGGCCTTGGATCTTCATTCTTTTAACATGCTCAGTGTGATTCTGTTGTACTGTAAACCCTGCTGTTTTCACTCAACATCATTGCTAGAGACTCTTCCTTATTAGACTGTTTCACATCCTCTGAGGTCTCTTCCTTTAGGCATCCCTTTGAGGCTGCTTGGGCACTTAGGTTGTTTCCAGTTTCGTTCTGAAACTAATAAACCTTAGGACATCCACCATTGAGTACGAAGGGGTTTCCCAATTTCCTCATAGTTAAGGATAATTCTCAGAAGTGTAATTATTGGATCTAAGAGCAAAGATTTATGTTTGTATGTACGTTTTATTTGAGTTGGAGTCTCTGTCACACAGGCTGGAGTGCAGTGGCACACTCACAGCCACCGCAGCCTCCACTTACTGGGCTCAGGTGATCCTTCCATCTCAGCCTTCCAAGTAACTGGAACTACAAGTCACTACACCTGGCTAATTTTTTTATTTTATTGTAGAGATGAAATCTCACCATATTGCCCAGGTTGGTCTTGGACTTATGGGCCAGGCAATCCTCTCGCCTCTACCTCCCAAAGTGCTGGGATTATAGGCATGAACCACCGTGCTTGGCAATTTTTTTTGTTTGTTTTCTGAGTTGGAGTCTCACTCCATCGCCCAGACTGGAGAGCAGTGGCAGCTCCCGGCCACTGCAGCTTGACTTGCTGGGCTCTGGCGATCCTTCCGCCTCAGCCTTCCAAGTAGCTGGAACTACAGGCGCATGCTACCACACCTGGCTAATTTTTGATTTTATGTAGAAATGAGGTCTCACCAAGTTGCCCAGGCGGGTCATGAACCCGCGGGCTCAGGCAGTCCACTCACCTCAGCCTCCCAAAGTGCTGGGATTACAGGCTGAGTCACTGAGCCCGGCTGGCAATTTATTTATTTATTTTATTTTTTAAGTTGGAGTCTCCATGGCCTAGGCTGGAGAGCAGTGGCACACTCATGGTCACCTCAGTGTCGACCTGATGGGCTCAGGCGATCCTTCCACCTCATCCTTCCAAGTTGCAACTACAGGCATGCACCACCATGCCTGGCTAATTTTTTGATTTATTGTAGAGATGAGGTTTTGCCAAGTTGCCCAGGCTAGTCTCAAACCCATGAGTTCAGGCAATCCTCTCACCTTGGCCTCCCAAAGTGCTGGGATTATAGGCATGAGCCACTGCACCCGGCCGATTGACTTATTTTTAAGACTTTTAAGTTGTGGTTAGATTTTTTAAAGCTGTTATCAAATTGTCCTCCAGAAGGACTGTCGACAGCCCTCAACAGGATACACTGCCACCAAAATGGGCTGAGCACGGTGGCTCATGCCTATAATCCCAGCACTTTGGGAGGCTGAGGTGAGAGGAATGCCTGAGCCTACGGGTTGGAGACCAGTCTGGGCAACTTGGCAAGACCTCATCTCTACCAAATCAAGAAAATTTAGCCAGCCATGATGGTGTACACCTGTAGTTTCAGCTACTTGGAAGGCTGAGGCGGAAGGATTGCCTGAGTCCTGCAGGTCGAGGCTGTGGTGGCGGTGAGCATGCCACTGCCCTCCAGCCTGGGCAACAGAATGAGACTCCAACTCAAAAAAAAACCCCAAAAATGTATTTACATGCACACACATATATGTGCTAATTTGAGAGATGTGAAATGGCCTTTCTTGACTGATTTCATGGGTTTCTTTGACTAGGGAGCCTGACCAATATAGGTGATCCTTCCACCTCAGCCTTACAAGTAGCTGGAACCACAGGCGTATGCCACCATGCCTGGCTAATTTTTTTAATTTACTGTAGAGATGAGGGCTCACCAAGTTGTCCAGGCTGGTCTCGAACCCCTAAACTCAGTCAATCCTCTCTCTTCTGCCTCCCAAATTGCTGGGATTACAGGCATAAGCCACACCGCACCAGTGTGTATGACTTCAAAGTCCTTGCCTGTTTAGTCACTGGGGTCTGTGGTGTACTTTTCTTGTGATTTTAATTATTTTCAGATTCATCAAAGTGTTTACTTTGTGATTTCTAAATATTTAATTATATTTTCTTCTGACTGTTCTTGACTTGATTTTTTAAAATCTTGGTCCAGATGCCAAGCTAGAGGCTAGGTAATGTGTGGGAGGTCACTGGTGAGGACACCTTCCAATAGAGGCAAGGGTGGCCTTGCATTCTCTGGGTCCATCGCTCTCAGGACAACAACCTTCATCATTTAGTTGAAATTGCCCCTTGACAAGAGCAAGTAAAACAAAAACTAGTGCTGCTAGTCATTATGGATGGTGGGTTGAAGGTCATAGGAAATTTCCTCTTTGCATTTTGCTGTGCTTTTCTCACACTTTCTAAATTGAATGTGGATTCTGTGTGTTACAGAATAAATGCATGTTAAGTGTTATTGTTAAGACTCCAAAAAGAAGGTAAACATTTTCCCCTACCAGGGGCCAGGCCCCTCCTGTGCAGTGTAAAATGTTGAAAATATGATGAGAAGAGTTGGCCAGCAGGGCCAGGCTGGGTTGTAGACTAGAGCTGGAGCCATGAGCAGCTGGTCCTGCATCCTGGCCAGCATTGGGCCTGGAGCTTCCTGGATTCCTGCTGCCCTCACCCCTCTCAGCCTCAGTACTTAATATTGTAGTGGAGCAGTTAGGTGAGTGACTGCAAAGCTTTTGACTAGCCTGAGTCTCAGTCTAACCAGGCCAAGAGATGCCAACCATAGCCAACTGAAAATATTTGTGGCCGGGCTCAGTGGCTCAGCCTGTAATCCCAGCACTTTGGGAGGCTGAGGAGAGTGGATTGCCTGAGCCCATAGGCTCAAGACCCACCTGGGCAACTTGGCGAGACCTCGTCTCTACAATAAATAAAAAATTAGCTGGGCATGGTGGCATACACCTATAGTTCCAGCTACTTGGAAGGCTGAGGCGGAAGGATCGCCGGAGCCCAGCAGGTCGAGGCTGCAGTGGCTGGGAGCGTGCCACTGTACTCCAGCCTGAGTGACAGAGTGAGACTCCAACTCAAAAAAAGAAAAGAAGATATTTATTAGCCAGGCATGGTAGCACATGCCTATAGTTCCAGCTACTTGGAAGGCTAAGGTAGAAGGATCCCTGGAGCCCAACAGGTCTACGCTGGAGTGGCCATGAGTGTGCCACTGCACTCAAACCTGGGTGACAGAGTGAAACTCCAACTCAAAAAAAAAAAAAAAAAATATTTAGGCCCAAGCTGGGGGAGGCTGAAGGCCTATTTACTTCCTAGTCCCTTGGCCAGGTACCCAAATGCTTTCTGGAACCACTACCCACCCCTAATGCCAGCTTCTTCCCTCAAGAGCTGAACTGGCCATGCAACTGCCCAGATGCCCACACCCACTTGGGCACAGCCTATAGTTGACCCACACCTTGCTAAGTAGCTTCCCCAGTCTCTCTCTGCTGTCCCTACAGGGGAAACTGGAACAGGGCCTGAGGTGAGGAGGGATTCCAGGCAAGACAGGCTCTTCCTCCATACACAGGCAGTAGGTTCCTGGAGCTGGGACGTGAAAATTGGTAACTAGTCAAGACAAGTCAGTGGGACAGAGGGTGGGTCTCTCCATGGTCCACAGGGTCCCAGGACTAGGCTTTGCCCTCCCTCATGGTCACCCACTCCTACCTTCTTGAGTCTCCTCAGGCATGGCAAGTAGTGGGCAGTTAGGGGGCCGATGAGGGTGCTCAGCAGCAGGACTGAACAAAGGCAGAAGTGGCTCCTCTGAGAGCCTTGGGAAGGCCTGGCCGCCTCCCAGCCTGGGCCTAAAATAGGCCTGAGCTCAGTCCACTAGACTATATTTAGAGGGGGCAGCTCTCAGCCACGGGAAGGGGTGGGGTGGCCCACATGGGCCAGTCTGGACTATCTACCTGGTAAGGAGCCCAGTACAGGTGCTCGGAGGTCTTCTTGGGGAACCACACCACTCCCATACTCACAGAGGCCTCGAGGCCATCATCCAGAATAGCAACCTCAGATTGAGCAATGCCCCAAGTGGTAGTCAAGACATACAAAGGGAACCTGTTATGCCACCCCTCCAACCCTGAAGACCCCTACCCACAGCCATCATCTCTCCTGCCAGCAAACGTGGTACAAATACCCATCACTGTGTGTGTCTCCTTTTGGGAGTGTCGGAGCCCAATGTCGTGAGGGCTATGCTAGCTTCCACAAGTGGGCACTCACACACACAGCACCCATGCTGGCCAGTGGCTGGAACCGGGTACTTCTGAGGCCAGGGTGGCACTTCTATTACTAAGTGTCCAACCTTAAGTAAAAATAGCCCTTCTCTGTCCTCAGTTTGCTCATCTGTAAAACAGTAACAGTGGTTCCTCCCTGGCAGAGTACACTGAGAACCATGTGTCTGAAGCACGTAGCACAATGCATGTCTTGGTCCTCCCTCTTTCCCCTTCTCTACAAGGACATACAAGTCACACATGGTCATGTATGGATGCATATCACCACTAATCCTCAATGGGGGCAAAGCAAGCCTGGACTTTACTTCCAAAACATCCCAAATCCATCACTCCACTGAATCACATTGGCCCCCTTTATGTTCCTCAAGCTCTGTAACTTGCTCCCACCGCACTGACTTTGCAGTGGCTGTTCCCACCTGTAATGCTCTGCTCCCAGATAGTCCTGTGACTGGTTCCTTCTTGCCACTGAGTTCAGATGCCACTCCTTCAGTGAAGCCTTCTGCTCAGTCTTTTCACATCACCCCCATCTTATTTTTGTCATAGCACTTAGCCCTTAAATTATATTATGCAAGGCTGGGTGCGGTGGCTCAAGCCTATAATCCCAGCACTTTGGGAGGCCAAGGCGAGAGGATTGCCTGAGCCCAGGGGTTCAAGACCAGCCTGGGCAACTTGGTGAGACCTCGTCTCTCCAATAAATCAGAAAATTAGCTGGGCATAGTAGTGCATCCCTGTAGTTCCAGCTACTTGGAAGGCTGAGGTGGAAGGATCATCTGAGCCCAGCGGGTAAAGGATGTGTTGGCTGTGAGCGTGCCACTGGACTCCAGCCTGGGCGACTGGAGTGAGACTCCAACTCCCAAAAAAAAAAAAATTATATTGTGCAGAATGTACAATGCATGTCAGCATTCCCAAACACCCTACTCAGACACGGAGAAACCACCTTTAATCCTCACCACACCAACCTTGGACAGGAGAAACTCAGGCCTTCAGACCACTAGAAAGGTAAGACCACACAGCAAGGTCTAGGAATAGGGTTTTCTGCTGGGGCCATTCCAACTTCGGCTGATAGTGTTTATTGCATTATTTTAGTACAGTCGGCCTGTCTCAACCCACCCCCAACAGCCCAGCCTGTTCACAGCTTTCTGCTCACTGCTCAAGAAGAAGGGGTCCGTCTTCCAGTGTGGGCCCTCCAGGTACCTTGCCAGGTCTGGTCGTTGTTCTGGAGCCTGGCTTCTCTGCCCCCTCCCTCTTGGTGGGATCCTGCATCCGGTCTGGACCACCCTTCCCGGGACTACATTCAAGGGTTATCCTGTTAATAAATATGCCCGCGCCACTGCCCTTCAGTCAGGACCTGTCGGTTGGTGTCTCCGTTGCCAGGGACCCCAGTGTGCCTGGCCCCAACCCGTTGGTCTCCCAGGGTCTGGGTGCCCCCTCTTCCGCCTGTCATCTCCCGCCTCGTCCCCAGCGTGGGGACAGCCGAGTCACCACTGCGCGGCGCTGCGCGGCCCCCTCTCGGCGCGCGGCTCAGAGGCGTGTGTCCGCCGATTGCGGCCCTTCCTCCGAGACTCTGGGGGCGGCGGGCGCAATGCAGGCTGAGGGCGGCACATGCGCAGGGAGTTCGCCCCTCCACCGCCGCCCGGCTCCACCAGCTGCAGAAAGTCCCGGTACCAGAGTTTGGGGCCCGACTGCAAGGCGGGCGTAGCCTCCTCGACCAGCGCCAGCCGTTCGGCCTGCGCAGCGCTCAGCACGTGCAGCGCTAGGCGACGCAGTGGCTGCGAAAACCCTTGCTCGACAGCAGCGCACAGGTACACGCCTGAGTCCCGGCGCCGCAGCCCGCGCAGCAGCAGCCCCCGTGCGGTGGGCACGGCGCGCTCTTCCGCCGGCACCTGCGGGGGTGCGGGAGAGTGAGTCGGGAATGTCGGGGTCAGGAACCAGGCTTTCTAGCCCGAGCAGGAGACGGGGGAAGCAAAGGGTCATTGGGAGTCGAGGGGGAGCGCGAAAGGGGCGCCTGCAGGTGCACACTTGGAGGTCGGGTGCGTGGAGCTGGTGGTCTTCGAGTGAAGATCAGAACGGGGCGGAATTTACATGAATGTGGGGTCGGATCAGGAACCTCAATAGGCGGGTCGAGGGCGGGTCTTCCCGGGGAAAGGTGGCAGCTTGGGAAGGGTCAAGAGCGTGGTTGGACAGAAGGGGGCCTCACCGTGATATGGAGTGCAGGTAGGAGACCAAATTGGACAGGGCGGGTAAGGGTCTGGCTGGGCGGGACCTCGTTGGGCTGGACTTCACTAGATGTGAAGGCCAAGGGCTGCATTGGGCAGGGCGGGGTCTGTCCTGGACATGGGGGGCGGGACATAAGCCTGCTGGAGAAAGGCGGAGCAAGGCTCACCCGTGTGTGGGCTGTCTCCCCAGTGCGCTGGAAGGTCCACTCCACGCGCGCTTGCAGAGAGCGGGGCTCACACTCCAGAAAGGCGTTGCCGCCCTCCACGCCGAACACCTTCCGTTCCAGCAGCGCAGGACGGGACGAGTCTTGGGGCCAGGAGAATGTCAAATTCAGGCAAGGCAGGACTGGTGTCTTCAGGGGCTGAGGGTGGGGGCAGATGGGACACTCACCGCCGGAGCACAGAGTGCTGGGGTCGCCATTCCTGACGTCTTGCCGCCGGAATCGCCTGGGGGAGAACATTGGATCCTCCATGAGCCCTTCTTCCAGCCCCGGGCAGTGAAAGACCCTTGTCTCCCTCCCAGCCCCTGACCCCGCCCACCTCTTGGCACTGGGCTGGAAGCGCGTGCACGCGACCCCGTCCCAGGCGCAGTAGGGGTCACGCGCCAGGCAGCATTCGGCGCAGGCGCGACCGTGGGCGGCGCAGCGGTGCAACGCGATCTGGGCCACCGCGCTCCGCGAGGCTACGTACAGCTGGTGCTAAGGGGCACGAGGGGCTGTGGGCTATCCGAGGGCGGCCCCGCACCTGCCTCCCGTCGGTCAGGAATCCCTTCTCCCACATGACAGATGGGGACACTGAGGTCTTACTCAGGTCAGTCTAGCAAAGGCAGAGCCTGTATTCAAATCCAGGGCTGCACACTACCAAGAGGGACCGGAGGTTGGGACACCCGAGGCACAGGCTCAGTCCACCCACCCCCAGCCCCATTCTTCTGGTCACTTACCCTCTTGGAGGAGATTTGCATGCTGGTGACAGCGGCTGAGTCCTGAGAGGGAGGAGGGGCGTTGGGGTCAGGGTTTAATGGGGCGGAGGGACCCTGGGCGACTTGGCGGAGAGGCCTCACCTCAAATACGTGCAGCTCCTCCAGGAGCAGCCCCTCGCCGCTAGACCTGCTGCCCTTGGGTACTGAGATCACCTTCAGCACTGTGCCCGCGTCTGCAGGAGTGAGAAGGGGGAATGGTCACTGGTGTTCCCCAAGAGCTAGGGCTGGGGTCTCCCCACCTTTGGGGCCTCCACTCAGAGCGTGGCTGGGTCATGAAGGGGTGAAGAGTGTGGATCAGCACAATAAGGGCAATACCCAGAAGATGGGGCCACAGCCCAGGAAAAGATGGCGATGTGACTGAACAGGGAAAGCTCCCACTATCAGGCCATGGGATCCTGTGGGTCATTGTGGAGGGACCCTGACCTGTGCCAATGAAGAGGACGTCATAGTGTCCGTCAGCAGCAGCTACCCGGTCAGCGGCAATTTGGGTGAAGGTGTACCCAGATCCCACTTGTATGAAGAGGGGGCGCCCCCCAATTGGCAGGATGGAGTTGTACATGAGGGGGTGGTTCCGGGCAAACTGGATGACGTCATCAGGGAAGTCCTTGGTGGAACTGAAGATGCCAAAGGTCTTGCTGGGGCACTGGGGGGTGGGAGGAGGGAGGCACAGCAGGGATATAGGTATGGGGGCTTGATGGGCAGCCCTCAGTGCGAGGCCTCTGTGAATCAGGGAAGGGGACAGAGCACTGTCCTGGGGATTTGAGAGAGGAGACCCACCCTTGCCTTGGGACGTCTGAGGGGGGAAATGTGGTCTCCTCAGAAGCCCTGTCTCATGTAATGTCCCATCCATAACAAAAAAAGAAAACACATTCACCAAGAAGACCTCAGGCCGAGTTCTCAAACTCTTGAGGCTTTAAAGTGAGTTGTGGCAGGAGTCCCTGGGCTACTACTACGCACCATGCCTGGCCGCGGGTAGGGGACGCGACCCTGGTACGACACCCATTGGTGTGTGGGCCCCTCCTTGTGAGCAAAGGGTCCCAGGAAGGCCCGACGCACATCGTTCATGCTGTACACGCACACTGCAGAGCCCTGGAAGATGCCGCTGCAAAAGACAAGAGCAAGGTGAGGGAGCCCAGCTGACCCTGTCCTGGGTGCCCTATCTCCCACGCCCGCTCACCTGGAGGTGGAGAACACAGCATAAAGCAGCGGAGTCCTGTGGTCCCGCGAGGACAGCAGAAACACGTCCTCTGCGAGGAAGGGCCTACTTGAGGGAAGGTACAGAGCCCCAGTGGCCAGCCGGTGCTCCTGGAATCTGCACCCGTCTTCCTCCCCAGTCTCATCCTCTACTCCTGATACTCACGGAGCTGGTCGAAGTGAGTGTCGCCCTCGTCGCCAGGCGCCGAACACACTAGCCGCGCCTTCAGGAATGTCGTCCACTTGTTGACCAGGCTGCGCTGGCCGCCCACGTCATTCTGCCAGGAGGATCCAAGCGATGAGAGCGGGACCAGGATGGGGGGGGGGATGGGGTCGTCGGGTGTCACCCAGGGACTCCTCACCCGGCAGATCTGGCCAACGCGGGACACGGACAGACGTCCCAGGGCCGGCACCGCCTCCACCGCCGACTCACGAAAGAAGAAGTAGATTTTGTCGTCGTCTGGGTTCTCGCTTTCCGGGATCCAAAAGACCTTAACAAATTTGGGCTCTGGTCGCAGCAGGAGGCGTGGGGTCAGCAGGTCCTGGCCCTGACCTCCTATACGGGACCCATATGTCGCCTCCCCTTCCTCTTTTGCAGGAGGTAGCACCCGCGGCAGCATCTGACCACCCAGTTTCTAGGACCGAGTTCAGTTGGCGCTTCGCGCGGACCCAGTCCAAAGGACCAGGGCCTGCAAGGTAAGAAGCAACCACGAGAGGGCAGCAAAGACCGTGGCTACGGGGCACGCGGGCGGGCCCGGCGGCCGCTGACCTCGCTCCTCAAGGTAGCCAAGACCTTTGGGCCAGGCAGGGAGGAAGATGGGGTATCCAGTTTCACCTTCATTCATGAATCTTCCTCTGTAACAGAACCAGATGCTCCCCACTTCTGCTTCAAATCCTTCTGCTGAGTCCCACTAGGCTAGAATAAACTACTGGCACTCTTGACTGTCCAAGCCTCTTATCATTGCTAGCCCACGAATCTATTCCTTTGCTTGTTTCTGCATCCGGGCCTTTGCACTAATTCCCTCTGGCTGCCATGCTCTTTCCCCCATTAATCTCTTAGGCTTTGAAGATTAGCTCTTACCTCCCTTCAGCTGAGTGGTTTCCTTTCCCTAACCCCTCTACCCATCCAGTCTCCTTTTCTCTTCTTCTCTATTCCTTACTGGCCTCATGGCCACTGGAAGTGATCTCATCATGCATTTGTTCCGAGATCTGTGAATTCATAGAGGGCATGCATCATACCTGTCTTGTCTGTCCCTGTGACCCCAAGGCCTGGCATGAAACCTGATTATGGACCTGACTGCCCCATTGTTCACTTTACGGGCCCTATTTGGCACCTGCTGCCCTGTGGGAGGGTGACGGCCTCTCCCACTAGCCCCACCAGCCTCTCACCGTTGAGCCAACGGGAATCATGTGGCTCTGTTCGGAGACTCGGACGCTGGCCCAGGCTGCGAAAGATGGTAAAGTCCCGGCCCATGAGGTCTGCTGCCACCCCTGAGTATAGCTCCTCCCCTGCAGACAGGGCAAGGGCTGCTCAGCCAAGCTGAGGGCTCTTGGGTGAGATGGCCTAGGGAGTTCCCAGAGCTCTTGGGGAGTCAATGAGGCAATGGGGGATCCTCAGAGCTCTTGGGGGCCCTAGAGCTTTGTAAGGTTCTGGAGTTTCTTTTTTTTTTTTTGAGTTGGAGCCTCACTCTGTCGCCCAGACTGGAGTGCAGTGGC